AATATATATATTCCTTTTGTGTACAGGTGAAACATTACAAAAGCTGACTGTATGCTAGGTATAAAGTTAGCCTCAACATATTTCCAGGTACAGTCCCTGATCACATATAGTTAAGTTAGAAATCAGCAACAAAAAGATAAGGAGAAAAACCCAATATTTTTGGAAATTAAACACACTTCTGATAACTAACAGGTTAAAGACAACTCTTTAAAGTCTCAGAAATATGAAGCTTGTTCCAACTGCCTTAAAACGTAAGAGGCAATTTCTCATGTAATCATTAATAAAATAGATTATGTTTTTAAAAATATAATTGCCAATACCTAAGCAGCAGATGTACATTTTGCATTATACCTGTATACACTTTTAACAAACACACCACAATGCATAATTAAAAGAATAAAAGCTTACAGTTGGAGATTAACATTTTCTATTTCAATAATGGAATCACTTATCTCACCAGAGTATCTTTTTGCTCTTTTAAACCGGTCATTGAAGATACAAAAGTGAGCAGACACACAGTCTCAGCCTCTTGAGGCTGACAGCATTCAAAAGAGACAGCCATTAGTTAGAGAAACAAATGTAAAATGGCAGTCGTGATGTATGATATGACCCTGAAACAGGGGTGGGGACATGAGGAAAGGTGTTCCCGGGGAAGTGATGCTTAGACATGTTAAGACCTAACATGTGGCCTGGTGCACTTGTGAGGCTGAGAAGGGAGGACTACCTGAGCTCAGGATACCTGGTGAAACCCCATCTCTACAAAAAATACAAAAAGTAGCCGGACATGGTGGCGCACACCTGTATTCCAAGCTACCAAAGAGAATGAGCGGGAGGATCACTTGAGCCAGGGAGGTGGAGACTGTAGAGAGCCATGTTCGTGCCACTGCACTCTAGCCTGGATGACAAAGCGAGACACTGACCCCCCCCCAAAAAAAAAATAAAACCAAAAAACCTAACTTGTAAAAACAAAGTACCTAGGGAAGGACAAAAGAGAACAGCAGTCTAGAAAAAAAAAAAAAAAGCAGCAGCACTGCAAAGCTACAAAGTTTTAAGTGGGCGATTAAAGTAAAACCATAATTTTCAGATGGTCAACATAAAAACAACGCATAGTAGAAAAGTGAAAATTTTTTATGCCTTCTAATCTATTCCTTCTTTTCTTTTTTTTTTTTTTTTGAGAGAGAGTTTCGCTCTTCTTACCCAGGCTGGAGTGCAATGGCGCAATCTCTGCTCACCACAACCTTCGCCTCCTGAGTTCAGGCAATTCTTCTGCCTCCTGAGTAGCTGGGATTACAGGCACGCGCCACCATGCCCAGCTAATTTTTTGTATTTTTAGTAGAGACGGGGTTTCATCATGTTGACCAGGATGGTCTCGATCTCTTGACCTCATGATCCACCTGCCTCGGCCTTCCAAAGTGCTGGGATTACAGGCGTGAGCCACCGCGCCCGGCCCTATTCCTTCTTTAATAAGATTTGTCTATCTTTCTACTGTCACAAAAACTTTTGACTATACAAATACTACATAAACATTCTATGTAAGACACATAGAAAATACTACTGCTATGCAAAGTTAAATGGTTAGCATTTTCCAAACATTTTAAAAACCATAAAAATCAACTTTAAGACCTATTAGAAAGATACTTCTATTCTAGTCTTCAAATAAAGGTTTCTGCTCTGGAGAGGCTATAAGTATGCCTTCTAAATTGTTCTCACTAACCTATACACGGAACAATCTTAAGCAATTCATTCATTCCCTACCACTATTTTTAACATTCCATACCCATTTAATTCGACCAGACAAGCTGTGTAACACATGCATGTAACTTTAGGTATTGGAACTGAAAAGTTAAGAAAAAAATGAAAAGCATCAAGAACTCCTGGAATCTTGTTGTAATTACTCCAAAGATGACTATGTAAGCCCAACAGGATCCAAATCAGTGATTGAAGGTTAACTTTGACATGGAAATTACAGCTAAATTATATAGATAACGTTTTAACCTCCACTAACAATTTTCTTCGTTTCCCCTTTGATATACATTGAAAAAAAAAAAATCTTCATTTCTTTCCCAGGACTTGATCTTTAAAATAAAACACAATGACTCAAATCCACCAAAGGGCTAGGTCAAAATATAACCTTTGGAGGCTTCCAATAAAGGTCAAGACAAAAAACGCTCTGCAGTCTTCGTATTAATATTTGTAAAACAAGACTCGATTGCACTAAGTACTTGCACTTAAACTGAATGCAGCATTCTACTGAGTAAGGATTAGAAATAGAAAACAGATAATCCCTTTAAAATGTGCAGTTACTGATGAACTTTCCTTAGCAGTGAAGGACTGTCCTTTAGAAGAAGTTCTTCTGAAAGATAATTTCTTTTTCTACTGTAAAATATACTAGCAGAATTTTTTTTTAATCCCTATAGTTCAGAAACAATCACATCCTTAAGAAAATACATAAGAACAAGTAAGAAAATTGTATCTGAAGATACTGTAGCCAATTCTCTGGTAAATTCAAAGGGAAACTGACATCACCTAAAATATCCAGACACTGAATTTACTTTTCATCACTTATTACAGCAACAGCCTGAGTGCAAAGGGAGCCTAAATTTTTATTAAAAGGTAGTCATTACTACTAAATACATTCCCCCACCCCTTGAAGAAAACGAAGAAAAAAAAATAGAACTACTCAGATGTGGGGAAGGGCAGGCGTGTATACATGGGGGAAGGGAGGCAAAGGACCAACTTGACTCTCTGGGAACAATTAAAAAATGAGACTTTGGTTGGACACAACAATCACCAGCATGTCAGAAAACTAAGGAAGGCTCTTCTTTTTCTTCAAACTCATCACAATGTAAACATGGAAATGAGCGCCATGTGGAACAGTGATTAGTCAGCCGAAACAAACTAACTACTGGAATATGCCTTCAGAGTGGTGTAGATAACCAAGCAGGAAGTGCTTATACATGTTTTAAGACTCGTGTTTAAGTGAAGACACACGCAATTCAAGATGAATACAAGCACCACTGTCCTTTTCAAATTTTTGGGGAAAAAATTAAGTTTAGGCTTAACAATGAAATAAAAATTTCACCAGGTATACCCGCACTAGTTGCTAAACTGCATTCCACTTAAAGGACAGTACAGGTAACACGCCTCAGCAGACCAGAGTGGGAAAAACACAATACTGACCACCACTGGACAGATCTCTAGGTCATAAACCGCTTTTTTTTTTGACAGAGCCTTGCTCTCCACAACCGCCACCTCCCGGGTTCAAGCGATTCTCCTGCCTCAGCCTCCAGAGCAGCTGGGACTATAGGTGCACACCACCACACCCAGATAATTTTTGTATTTTTAGTAAAGATGGGGTTTCATCATATTGGCCATGCTGGTCTCGAGCTCCCGACCTCAGGTGATCTGTCCACCGCGGCCTTTCAAAGTGCTGGGATTACAGGCGGGAGTGAGCCACCGCGCAGGGTCTATAAACCGATTTAAGGTTGCAAGATGAGTGTGTAGTAGGATGTGTAACCAGTAATTTCTGGAATGTTTGGCAACAAACCTCAAAATCAAATTTGCTTAGAAATCCTTGGCCTAAGTTTTATTTTTAAAAAGGTCAAAGCAAAATTAATACATTAAAAAGGTGGCAAATTATATCACATTAATAAAACCAAGGCACAGCACAGGCAATAATATATTAGTAAGAAGGTTAATTATTTCAGTAACTGCAGCAACAGGTTCCCTGGAGGAGAATCCCCATTTCTCTATAAACGCGGCACCTAGATGGATTCAGAGAACAAAATCTACCGCAGCACAAAATCTGGCAGAGGGTAATCAAGCAATTCTGATCTTTCAAAGAGATTTGAAATGTCTTATCATTTTCCACTTTATCACTCCACAAACGCGCGCGCACATACACACACCTATCGAAAAATAAAAATAAAAAAAAATAAGGTTTCCACCAACCCAAAAGTAGCTCAGAGATCTCAAAAACAAATAGAGAAAGGGGTTCTGATGCTTAGAAACTGACATTACAAAAACTAAATGCAAAAGTAAACCCGCTCCTCACAGCATATCATAGATCAGTCAATGGCTCAGGGATGGAGCCTCCTCCCCCAGGTCCTCCTTCCGCGTCCCTGACTTTCCCAACAACTATTTTACATCAAATAACTACTGAAAAGGGCCTGGGAAAAGGAGCGGGGGAAGGTGGCTTTTGAACACTCAGGTAGCAAGGAGTGACTGCTAATTTCATAAACAATAACGTAAAAGAGGGAAACCACCGCTCCTAGCCAATTACCAAGCAGGAGTCAAAGTTCCACGACGTAATTCGGGCCTGGGCCTTTACTCAGGCAAACACGTAATCGAAAGCACAGTCATTTCCCTCTTGATATTTTATTCATGCTGGCAATACCAGTCACACTGAAAAGGCAGCAAAACAAAACAAAAAAATAACAGCAGCGAAGGCAGCGGGGCTCTGGGCGTCCCAGCCTCCGTCCATCCCCGGACGCGAGCTCCCGCAGGCTGGGACGGGAAGCGCCGCGTCCTCTCCGCCGGGGTCTCGACTCCTAATCGCCTCGCGGGGCCGAGGGTCCCCCGGGCGCAGCAGAAGGGGACGCGGAGACGGCGGACAACAGGGAGCGCCTATCGCCTAGGGGGCCTCCTAGGGCTGCGGGAAGTTTCCGTCCCGCTCCCACGGCCCCTCCCGGAGAGCCAGCCGCAGCCCACTCTCTCAGGTGCAAACTTCGCAAACCTAGCTGCGCCCTGGGACCCGACCCGCGTCTGCGCGCAGATCCGACGCCCTCCCCCAGCGCGATCCCGGCGGTCCCCACAGCCCGCCGCACCCATGCCCGGAGGGGGCTGGCTGGGCCGCGGAGCCGTCCGGGAACCCAACCGAGGACGCGGCGTGGCTCCTCGGCGGCCCCCGTTCCCGACCCTCCCCGCGGCCCCGGCCCCGACCCTCCCCGCGCCGCTGTGGGCCTGATCGGCCGGCCGGGCCTGCGCCGCGCACCCCTCACCTTGGTGGCCATGGCGGGCGGGTCTCCCGGCCCGGGACGGCCGGCTCGTCTCCTGCGTTGCGGATGGTGGTTCCGAGCCGCGAGGGGGTGGGCGGCGGCTCCGGATGGGCCCCGGCGCGGCGGCGACTGCTTCGCCTCGGCCCCGAGTCTGGACGCTCAGGCCCCGCCGCTGGGCGCTCTGCGACTCCCGCGCCGCCCGCTCCTGCAGTTCCTGAAAGTCCCCGGCTGCGCGGCCCCCGCCCCTGCCGGCCGAGCCTCCCATTTACCGCGGCGCGCGCGGCGCCCGGCGGAAGCGCGCCCTGGGCCCTCGGCCGCGGCCCGGCCTCCAGGCCGCCCCCGCGCCGCGCCACCGCCCGGCCCCCTTCGTCTAGGCTCGGGGCCGCGTCCTGAGCTGCGGTAGGGTCGGGGCGGGATCCCGGAGCCATGTCCGGCAGGCCGCATAGCCGCCCCACGGAAAGCGCTCCGCGGCCCACCGAGCTGCTCGGGGGAGCCGAACCCCAGAATCCGTTCACGCTCGGCCGGCGCCGAACGCCGTGGCTCGGGGCTTTCCGTGCAAGAGGCGGGAGGGGGCGGCAGGAACTCGCGAAGCGCCCTGAAGGCAGGAGCCCCCCCACCCCGCGATTTGTGCCCTACGCCGGTGCTGCTGCGGGGTCGCGGTGCCCTGGCCCGAGTATCCTGAGTACCACATAAACAGCCGGGAAGGAACGGAGCAATGGCTTCCTGGGCCTCTTCCTCTCGCCCGGAGGCTCCCTCAGGCCGGGGTCCTGGCTTGGAGCCCCTGGAACGGGACCTTGGGGGCTTCGTTCTGTGATCTCCGGTTAACCTCCTTCTGGACTCTTGATACGTTTAAAAATGCCCGAGTGCCCCAGAGGTTTGGGGAACAGCAGGATCTCTGAAATGGAAATGAGGGTTCTAAAATTGTCCATCTTTCTTGTCAGTGGTTTTCTCCAGAGTTGGATATATATATATATATATATATGGGAGTTATGAATAAAAGAATGACTTGAATTGAGCAGCAAGATTTTTCACTCAAGGACAAAACACACGACTGGAAGATATTTTAATTGGCATACTAGTGGAGTACTTTGTTATTATGAGGGATGTATTTGTAAGAAGAGAACTATCAGATCAAATCTAAATACTCCATAGTATTTAGAGTTAATGTCAAGTTTGTGTCTTTTTAAATATGTTCTATTTGACCTGAGATTTCGCTAGTTCAATAATGGAGATTAAATACGGTATTGCAGAATTTTCTGTGAATTTTTGTGTTTGTCTAGCTCATGGTTAAAGCTGTAGTCATCATAATATGCATAGTTTTCTTTCCCCGTAAATAAAATGTTGGAGGCCAACATTCTTTGACAACCTGCTTGCTGTATACTAGGCTTTTACATCCCCATCTCATTTAATCCTTGTAGGAAACATGTGAGAAACTCATCATTGTCCACTGTTTACAAAGATGAGCCAATCAGGGCTCACTTAAATAACTTGCCCCTTTGGTAATACTTATTCAAATTGAAAATGACCATAACCTTGGACCCAGCAGCCCTCCTAGGAATTTATCCTCCTGTCAAACTTGTACAAGTGAGCAAAGATGTTCATCAAAGATAGTTCTTTAATGACTCCAACCAGAAAACACTGTATGTGTTTATTAACAGGACTGTTTCAGTAAATAAGATACATCCTTTCAAACAAAATAGTAGGAAGCCCATTAGAAAATAATATTTTAAGTGATATTAAGAAAGATAAAAAGAACATTATGTCTAGTACATTTGTGTAAAAAAAAAAGGAAATATGTTATACATTCCTAGAAAATTTCTGAGAAAGATTCGCCAGATCCTGTTGTCAGAGTGTTTGACCATGTGTATGTATTACTTCATTTAAAAACTGAAGTTTGTATTCTAATAAAGAATGAAAGAAATAACTTGGCTAAGAGCACACACTAGTATATGGAAAAGCCAGGATTTGAATTCAGACCATGCCATAAGTAATGAGTTTTTCATATTCTTTAAATTTGAAGTCTGGGTACAGCTCTCTCTGCAGCCGTTCAGCAATGCATCCTTTGATAGAAGGGTGCAAAGTTAGGGGCACACCTGTGAAGACAGGCCTTTCCACACGCTCATCTGGCAAATAGTCATCCTGGGCATCTGGCACCACGAAAGCAAGAAGACCAGAGACTTCAAGCTTTTCCTTCCTGAACAATTTCCATAACCCTGGCTTTATTTTTTAGAAGTAATGGTGGAGGGTTGATGTGGGAGGGGTGTTTGGGCCCAGGTGTTCAACACCAACCTGGGCAACATAGTGAGACTTCATTTCTGTTTTTTTGTTTTAATTAAATTTTAATTAGTTACTTTTTAAAAATTTTGTTACTCTTTTTTTAGTTAAAAAAAAAAGAGCAAGACTCGGTCTAAAGAAAAAAAGTACCTAAAAAGAGATAAATGTGCACTTCCACAATAAGCCACACCGAAGGGATTTTGAACGTAAGTAAAATCTTTATCGCATTTTAAATAATGAGGCTATATATCTCCAGTAAATAGTACTAAACTTAGCAGTTTTATTTTTATATACATTAGTCAAAATCAACATTTCTCATGAATGTCGTTATAGAGGAGAATCAGTTTCATAGAATATATATAGAGAGACAGAGAGGCTAGGTCTCCCTCTGTCACCCAGGCTGGAGTGCAGCAGCGAGATCTCAGCTTGCTGCAGCCTCCGCCTCCCGGGTTCAAGTGAGTCTCCTGCCTCAGCCTCCCCAGTAGCTGGGACTATGGGCACCCGCCACCATACCTGGCTAATTTTTTTTTGTATTTTTATTAGAAATGGGGTTTTGCCATGTTGGCCAGGCTGGTCTCTAACTCCTGATCTCAAGTGATCTGCCAGCTTCAGCCTCCCAAAGTGCTGAGATTACAGGTGTGAGCCCCTGCACCTGGCCGTGGCATTTGTCTTCTGCTTCCACTTGATCACCCATGCACATCTCTCTTCTGTCCACTTCCTTTAAGCAAGCTTCCTCAGCACCGATGCTCTAGATAGACCTGCTTTCAGAACTCAGATTCCAGACCCCAGGCCATGCTAAATTCAGCTTTTCCTCCATAGCTTGAGCTTCCATTACTCCAGGGGTGAGAACACAATGGATTCGTTAAGTAATTGGATTTACATTTGCAGACTGCTTTTGGTTGTTACTAGATTGCACTTTCAAAAGAAAAAGACCTGTAGCCAGAGCAACAGAGCCACTCTCACCTTTTGTTTAGGCTTTGGACCTCACCTTTTTTTTTTTTTTTAATCATGCCAACGGAGATAAAGTGATTAGGATTCACAGGAAGCCTCCTCCAGCCACGCAGCTGTGGAGACAGGAAAATAATGGCCACCGAGTCTTCCCTGGGTTTTTTTAGTACAGTCGGGTGTTTCTATTCAAAATTAGATTCTCCTTGTGTTTTCGATAGCACAGAGCCCAACTAAATGCTTGGTCAACTAATGGGAAACTAATGCAGAAAAGTGCAACTGTGCAAACTCAAGTGGAACATAATGAAAACGTGTGATGCTCACCTCATATGAGGGTTGGAGGATGAGAAGAATGTACTAATGCATTCAGCCTGTGTCCGGAGCAAGGGGATACCGCCTCCTCTCACTTTAGGGTATGAATTCAGTGAGGTTAAAGAAAACCTCTGGGTGACCTTGAAAATAAACAGTGGAAAGGAGTGTAGCTGGTGCTTTTCCAATGCTAATAAATGTATGATGTCCTCACCTTGAACCGGATGCTGTTAGAGGTGAGGGAGATAAAAGTCCCTGCTCTCTTAGAACTTAACTATCTGTAGAGGGTGGGAAAGACAATAAACTACAAATAAATGTCTAATGTGTCAGGTGCTTTTATAAGTGCTCTGAAGAAAAATAAATCAGGTAACCTTTATGGTGATAAAGAGAAGCAGGAGAGGTTTTTTTTTTGTACTTTAGGTTCTGGGGTACATGTGCAGATCTTGCAGGGTTTTTGCGTAGGTACATACATGGCAAGGTGGTTTGCTGCCTCAATTCCCCCATCATCTATATTTGGCATTTCTCCCCAGTTTATCCCTCCCCAACCTCCCCACCCCACTATGTCCCTCCCCTAGTCCCCACCAACTGACCCCTGTGTGTGATGCTCCCCTCCTTGTGTCCACGTGTTCTCGTTGTTCAACACCCACCTATGAGTGAGAGCATGCGGTGTTTGATTTTCTGTTCTTGTGTCAGTTTGCTGAGAATGATTGTTGGGGTCTGGCACGTCTGCCGGGGGGCTACCGACCTGCGGGAGTCCCCGAGACTGCCAATGTAGATGTCTCGTTCAACCTGAGGGAGAGAGTGCGCGGCAGTGAAAGAAAATAGTAAAGCGGAGTCTGGAGGTCTAGTAACTTACGGTCACAACGCAGCAGGTTTATTCTTGTGGGTTACAGCTTTTATACCTTTTTTCTTGTTACATTTACTTTATCTCAGCAGAAAAGGGGTAAACAGAAAGGAAATAGAAACTCCATAAAAATAGTTATCAGGGGCTTGTGATAACCGCTCACAAAGCAGTTTAAGGGGGCTTGTGATAATAGTTTACAAAGCAGTTTATGTTTTTCAAAGATACACAGTGCAAGCAAACAATGGTGCCCTTAAGGTGGCTTGTTAATCCTGTTTTCCATCAGGAGTTAGATCAAAGGCTTAGCTCCAGGGAAAATATGGGCAGGGGTCTCTTGTCCCTCTTAGGCATCTCAATTGTAGCAAGTTTATTGCTTACACAGAGACTGATGGGGACATGAAAGCAGACAGCACAATGTCCTCATAAACCGCAGACCTTTGCTTTGTATTCTGTTTTTGCCTCAGTGACTCAGCCCGCAACCTTTGTCTCAGTTCGACAGCCCTCGAGAGTGGGGAGTGCAGATAGGTCCAGCAGCCAAGATGGGGCGAGTCACGCTAACTGTCTCAAGCCCTTGGCGCGAACGCTGCACATGATGGTTTCCAGATTCATCCAAGTTCCTGCAAAGGATACGAGCTCATCATTTTTTATGGCTGCATAATATTCCATGGTGTATATGTGCCACATTTTCCCTGTCCAGTCTATCATCTATGGGCATTTGGGTTGGTTCCAGGTCTTGGCTATTGTAAACAGTGCTGCAATGAACATATGTGTGCATGTGTCTTTATGGTAGAATGATTTATAATCCTTTGGGTACATACCCAGTAATGGGATTGCTGGGTCAAATGGAATTTCTATTTCTAGATCCTTGAGGAATCGCCACACTGTCTTCCACAATGGCTGAACTAATTTACACTCCCACCAACAGTGTAAAAGTGTTCTTGTTTCTCTACATAGGAGA